CAGTACAGTAACAGTACGGTAGCGGTATCTTGTGCAGGTATTGCACGCTTGTCTATCTGGGAGGTTGGTGCAAACCCGATCGGGCCGAAAACGCTAAAAGTCGATAGTACAGACTTTTTTACATTCCAAATTCGATAATAGTGACATCTTTCATTCATTTCTTATACCTATCTATATCGTTGCGTCTCGCTCAAACGCATTCATCTGTCCTTATCTGACATATTGCAACGCCATCTCTTAGAAAGAGATCAACTAAAATACTGCACGGTTTCATGGCTTCACGTTAATTTTATTCGTAGTATACGAACGAAATTTTTGGCGACTCTTTTCTCTTGTACCAAAGCCCCTACATCGTTTCTAAAAGCATAGGATTGTTGTTCAAAGTTTTCTGTAGGCTGCTGGCTACTTATTTTAAACGGGTAAAATCTGAAACTCTTATATGCAGCACATATTGTGACGAGTTGACTGCAGGAGCCGGTGACAAAACTACAATTTTTAATTTTCTTTCATTTTTCGCATTACATTGTAGCTGGCAGCCTGTGTTGTTGTCGATACTTTGATTGTGGAGAAGGACTTTTCAATCCATAAACACAATTAAGAGAAAAGAGTCTTTAAAAATTGATGGTAAAACAGGACACTCCAGCATCCCCTTAACAATGTGGTCACATTGTTAAGAATTGTTCTCGCAGTAGATTCTCAAATGGTTTAAAAATTTTTTACAATAAGTCTGAATTAATTATTTTAAAGGAACTGTGTCGCAGAATACGTGAATTTGGCAATTACGTTGTTCTCACGGTTTCTCAAAAAGCTTCATTTTTCAAAAATAAAAGGATCACATTTTGAAAGAATAAAAATATAAAACTGACGACTGTAATTTTGGCAATTCTATTGACTTATTTTTTCAAGTATGAAGGAATAAACATCAGGTGAATTGAATAATTGTAAATTAATCAAGATATAATTTTAATTGACGACTGTTTTAATGCGACTTTTTTAAAACATTTATCCGATTGTTGAACATTGTAACCTTATCAAGTGTTTTGTATGACCACTTTTTAATTGCGGATATATTTTAATACTTATTGGTTGTGTGATGTTTAATTGATTGTATTTATGTTATATTAATTTAATCATGCGAATATCATAATTTATTGTACTGAAGATGGTCAAATTTTGACCAAAACGTCTACAAAAATTTTTATTATTGTTATGATATTTTTGAATATATGACTTCACAATAACGTCTTGTGCTGTGGCTATTGCTCATTTTGATTGATATTGTTTTATTTAAGCCATAAAAATTTAACTTAATTAATGTTAAATAAACGTTTAATTAACGTTAAAAAAATGTTTAAAAATATTTTTTCAAACATTTATTTCAAACGAATAATTAATGTTAAATAAACATTTAATAAACGTTAAAAAAATGTTTAAAAAACGTTTTTTCAAACATTTATTTCAAATAAAATGTTACAATGTAGAATAAACATTTAATAAACGTTAAATAAACGTTAAATTAATGAATTTTGAAAACGAATCGTGAAAAATGTAAAATTAATGAAAAATAAACGTTTAAAAAACATTTAAAAAACATTGCCTACTGATTGGGTCCTATTATCCCGGAAGTAGGCGCGTCTCGAAACTAACGTTAGTAGGCGCGTACCCTGGTCATTTTGACTGAAATATATTCGCATATATATGTGTTACAACTATAATGTCGTTTGTGCACAGTAACGAGTCCTTCTGACGAAATTTCTGATCACTTTCATCACAACTTTCATTTTCTTTTTTTTGGAATTGACTAACGTTTTAATGTTGTTTTATTTGTTATCTCGAAAAAATACTAGCTAATAACTAAAGAAAAAAAATGTGACTCACTGTGTCTGATACCGACTGGCCAACATATCAGGAACCGGTTCTTGAATTATTTATGGTAATGTTTGCGATATGGTGCCTTGTAATCAACGTGAGCGTCCTTATTTGTGGGATAATTAATTATATTCTTAAAGTTTTTTGATAAATTAGTTTCCATATTTTCTAATTCGACATTTTCAATGTTTCCCCTTTTTTATTTTTCCTTTCTTTTTCTTTTTTGGTTAATCCTAGCATTTAAATTTTCGATGTGGGGGAGCTCACCATAACAGGATAATATTTAGTTTATATATGTTGGTTTGTGTTTGCTCTGAGGAAGGCTCAAAAAGTGAGCCGAAACATGTAAACGCGTTTAGTGAATAAAAAAGTTTCACTCTTTATAAGTGTATTAATTGCGCGACGTCTTCTGCGCCTGACTCCTAGTGCCCTTACTCTTTCCAATTCTTTGATTTGTAAGGAGTCTTGATTAGTTTGATTTATTAACGGATTAATTTCTTTTTTTTGGTAACGCCGTTACTTTTTTTTATTAGTAACGAAAAAGTAACGAAGTTACATTTTCTTTAGTAACGAATAACGAAATTGACTCCGTTACTCTTTTATTTTTTTATAGATCTTGGCCGTCAGGGACAATAAGATTATAGGTACTAAATAAACAAAAAACTTTTTACTTATTTTTTTTGTTTTCTTCACTATTCTCGCTTTAGATAACAACACTAAAAATTAAAATATCTATTTATAATAAAATACCGTAGAATTAAGTATGTAAAATATTAATAAAAGATAAAAATGTTCAAAGTTAAATATCTTTCTAAATATTTTATATTTAATTTATATTTTGTCTCAGCATTCTGTCTTAGGAACCTGTTCTTACATTAAAAAAAAGTGTAATGATGCAGAAGACAGGCTTATTCATTAATTGTAATGAAACTAGGGTCATTCGATGCATTTATACACGAAACCTTACCTCAATAGTCATCAACTTTAACCATTAATATCTCACTTTGCCGGGCAGAGCAACACTTATTTTTCTGCCAGATTTGTTCATTTTGTGTAAACGCGCGTCGAATCGCCCTAATTTCATCAAAATCGGTGAGTAGGTCTGCATAATTAGAAAAAAAATAACGAAAAGTAACGATTTTTTATCATTACTTTTAAGTAATGGCAACGCGTTACTTTTTAGAATCGGTAACGAGTAATGGTAACGAATTACTTTTTACCGCAAATAACGGTAATGGTAACGCGTTACTTAAAAAAAATTTTCAATAATGCTGTAAATCAAATATACATATATCAAATATTCTTTAGTGCATCTAATATATCCATTAATTTGCAGAAGCCTAATGCGCTTCATTTTTATGTGCATATATGTTTAGATAATATCTTAAATAATTTATTAATATTTTTTACTAGGGCACTTATACATACATCTATCAGGAGTATTAGAAATATTCCTGATAATACAAAAACATTTCTACCATGAAAAAGATTCAGCAACCCAATAAAGTATACTAAAAATACGTATTCGATCTGTATATTAATATTTATATAATATTTGAAAAGATCTGTTCTCACCTCGTGATATAACATATTTTCATCGTGTGAAAGTTTGTACAATATATCTTCACAATAACACACATACACACACACACACACACACACACACACACACACACACACAAATTATAATCAATATCTGAAGTCTTTCTCTATTAAAGATTGTTATAGTAAGTAATATCGATCGTTGAAATATTTCATTTTCACACGCCATTAAATAACACAACAATAATTTCGCAAATTACTGTCAAAAGAAGGAAAAAAATGATTCTAAGTAATTTGTGAATATCAACACTATCTAACATTCTGATATTTATGATTCGTGGAAAAACTCCACAGGTTTCGACCAAACCATGAAGGTAGGAGCGCTCATATAAGAAGTAAACCGACGTGCGTTCTGATTTTATTCGTTCTTTTCAGCCTACTCTGAAAGAGCCATTCCTTTCCAATCGAATACTACGACACTGTAAACCACGTCATGAGAAGAGCAATTTGTAAATATGTGTCCCTGTTGTGCATTCTCGTCGCCCTCGCTCACGGGTAAGTGAAAGGACATGCATCGACAAATTGACGAGATGTCATGAACCTACATTAATAAACGGAAGTCATAATATTAGTGCGTATAAGTATTATTTCCTTCTGTCGAGACAATGAGAAACGAAATCTACATTTTTACCGCTTGGTTTTTCCATTAAATACTAAAAATAATACACAATAATGTAGTACGTAACATAATTTATGTATGTGGTGAAGCAACATTCAGAGTGCTGTTGAATTGTATCGAGTATTTAAATTTACTCGAGATGTTAGTCTAAGATAAAAATATTTCAAAAGATCAAAGTTAAAACATATATAACCATCCATCTTCCTGGAAATAAATACAATTAAAAAAAGAAACTGAGTAAACTTTAATCAAAAAAGATCATCAGGTTGAATCATAAAATATTTCAAAACTTCAATCAACAGTAATAATTATTATTGAAAGATACATTCTTATTGAATTACAAATTTTTTTTTCAACAATTACCCGATATATTATATTTGTTTCACAAAAAATTCTGTATTAAATAAATTTCTTGTGGAAACTTTCCGCATGAATGTAGTAATGTATATATGAATAATAATAATAATAATAATAATATATATATGAATAATGCATGTATGAGAGAGAGAGAGAGAGAGAGAGAGAGAGAGAGAGAGAGAGAAGAGAGAGAGAGAGCATCAAGGATTTTTATTTTTATCTGATAAGAATAGAAATTACGCGTTTCTTTTTCTATCTGTCTGTCCACATAATCATTGCTACTTATATTTAATTCTACGTTTATGAAAATTTGTCGACTAGGTCAGTTTTAGAGATAGGCGCTGACTTAGTTCATTATTTTAATGGAAATTATTTTTAATCTCGTATTTACCTTACTTTTTATTTTTTTCTGATTCTTAGAATTTATCTGAAAAAAGATAAGTTAAAAGAAATAAGTTAAACTGAGATTAAAGATAATCTACATTAATTGTACAAAGATAATGTATAGACACAAATCTTTCTCTCTCTCTCTCTCTATTTGGTATTCAGCTTTAGAGAGATAGAATATTTATTTTAGAAATAATGTCTATCTCTAAATTCCAGATATTTGTGATATTTACATTGAAAATTGGTTATTTTTAAATCAATGTTATTCTTAATCATAAACATGATTTTATCTCTTACATGGAATAATCTCATTTTTTAATCTTTATCAAATAAACATCACTTCTCGCATAAAGTGCAGGAAAACAAACGAATGTTGCATAATCTTGAACGTGATAGATTATATACAAGTTGTATATAACACTTCCATAATCTTTTCAACATACATTTCTATCTTTGGACCTTACATAGGCCTGTAATTAAAATGCAGTTATGACAATATTAGCTCATCAACGCGCAACAATTTGCGTTACACTGTAGAATATCTCGACTTGTTTATAGCGCACTAATATCATTATAATAAACATCATTCTATAAATACACGGCATATTTTCCGTTTTAAATTTCAATGTTCATCCGAAGTTTCTATGCGAAATTTACGATGCATGTGTGTTCACAATCTACAACTGCTGTTTTTAAATCATTATTTAAGGGTGAAATTTTAATTAATCTAATCGGTCATTAACTTAATTATCAAGCCTGCGGTACCAAATTAAAATTAGACAATACTAAATTAAAATTATTCAAATCTTATTATCTAAACGTAGAAGAAAATTAGAAATAACAATTAATACAATTAGAAATTTTATTATGAGTTATTCTACCAATCAATTTTAATACAAGTCTTTTTATTTTTAAATACAAGTCATCAATGACTCCAAAATGATAATGAAAAGTCACTTTTCAAACATTTACAATTCATAACGCTTAACATATATGCTATATCAGGTTTTGAGCACAGTGGAGGAATACTTGCAACCAGTGTTGCACTTATGGTTTTAAAATTATCTAGATGGAGATGAGATGGAAATCCGTAAATCCATCTTAGATGAGATGAAGATGGTTTTGATTTGCAAAAATCTAGATGAAAGATGAGATGGTTAAGTGATCTAGATTGTTTTTTAGATGGTTTTGTTTTAAAATAATTATAAACATAAAATGTTGCGCTGATCGGAAAAAGGATATATAAATGCTCACATTTTTATTTGTAAGTCTTTATTTTTCAAAAACAAAGTTTTGTCGCCGCGCGATATGCTCGTACGAGCAGCACGCTGCACAAGTGCGACTTATGCCAGCGCCACTGCTCAGCAAAACCGCCTTGTCCAAATATGCCATAGGTTGCGCGCAGATTTTTCACTCGTGTGCACTATTATATCATATATGTATATAATTCACTGTCGGCGCCGAACATCTATAGTGGCTGCGTTCAGAAATTTACTGGGAGCACTGAAAATCCATAGTTCACGTTAATCACGTTACGTATACTATACATTTTTAGTACTCGTTGAAAATTGTAAGAAAAAGAAAAATGTCAGCGAAAAATTATAAGAAACAAACCTATTTATGTCGAATTAAAATTATCTAAAATTTTTTTTAGATGAGATGGTATATTTTTCTATCTAAGATGAAGATGAAGATGGTTTATATTTGCACAATCTAGAATCTAGATGTAAGATGAGATGTTCCAATTTTCCATCTAGATGGCCATCTAAGATGGTTTCATCTAGATGTCGACAAACATTGCTGTAATATTACAACATTATTGCAATATTTATTATAAGATTTTGTACTATATAAATTTAAATATAAAAAATTAGAAGTAGAGAGAGGAGTTAAATGTAACATACAATGAATACAAATAAAATATGACTTCATAATTAATTATGTCTTTATATTTTACAGGCGTGTTCCGATGTGTGTGTGTGTGTGTGTGTGTACACTGTACTACTGAAAATCTATAATATACATATCGTAAACTATAAATTTTCAGTACTGGCAGTGCATATCGGAACACGGCCCCCTGTACGTTATATTTTATTATTGTGTCTATTGTACATTATATTTAATCCTTACTTCTAATTGTTTTATGTCTATAAATTATAGGCACAATTTCTATAAATTATAGACATTGACTACATTTACATCTTATGTCCGTTTCCACTAATGTATATTAACTTTAATCTCGGTTCAACTTACTCTTTTTCTAATCTTTAGAACTAGAAAAAGGCGAAAATAAATTGAGAGAGAACTGAGATTAAAATTAATCTATATTGGTAGAAATGGACATTAATCGGGTTTAATAATATTCGTAATTAGAAACTAACCAGTTATTCCATTTTTCAGAGGAATATATCCAGACAACACACAATATTTACAAAATATTTATAAAATATTTAGAAATATTTATAAGATTTATTTTAAATATTTTGTAAATATTTTTGTGGTTTTAGATTGCACAGATCATAAATATTTATTATAAATATTATGAAATACTTATTAGAATAGTTATAGTAAATGCTATGAAAATACTTAATGAGACATTATAATCCAAATAAAAAATACTCATTAGAAATATTTATTTATATTTATCATAAATATTGCATAAAATATTTCGTCTATATTTTAATAATATTTCGAATAAAGCTTTATATAAAATATGTATAAAATATCTATATAACATTTAAAAAAATGAATATTAATAAATATTTATCATAAATATTCTGTGCTGTCTGGGTAGTTATGAGATCGGTCAGTTTCATAATTACCCGTACAGCACAGGAACTTGTAGCAACGTTACAACGTTGCTGCAACATTTCAACGTTACATATTACAATACAATGTTGCAGAGACATTGCGAAAACTTTTTTGCAATATTACCTCAGCAATGTTGCAGCAGTATTTTTTAAATATTTACAGCAAGAGACACAAATTGACACAAGAGTCATCCTGTCCTTGTTAAAAAATCAGTAAGAATTAAACAAAGACAGAATGGTTCTTGTCATTGTATCGATTTGTGCCTCTAGAAAGCTCACTTTAAGTATTATATAAAACTTGTATATATTGATATACAATGTACAACCCAATACAATAAAGTCATAATGGACATAATGGAAGAATAGGAATTAATGATCACGTTTACACGGCACAGTTCCACAACTGAATTTATATTTCATTTCTTTCCAATTCTAGAATTAAAAAGAGACAATGAATAAGTTAAACCTCGGTTAAGAGTTAACCGTGAGTTTTGGAACTGAGTCTTAATCGGGTTTCTTATCACCTGTATGGTGGATGTATGTCTGTTCAATTTAATTACGCTCCTTTACAATCTTCTTTTTCTTCTCTTTCACTGAATTTAAAATTGTTTTAGGATGTATAATGCGAATATCATAATTTGTTTACAGGCAGACGCGTGAAAATGTGAAAGTCGAAAAAGTGACAGATACTTACAGCCATTCCGAAGGCCCCCATTGGGACCATCGTACTCAAAAGTTGTATTTTGTTGACATAATTAATCAGTATATACGCAGACTTGATCCCGCAACACGTGTTGTGACCAGCGCATACATAGGTAGACTATACATTTCTTCTTTATTAGGGGGAGGTCAAATTAGATTGACTTTTAAACATAATGGGGAGGAATAGTTGAATATGAGATGGATTATTAGACTTATTTTCTTTACATTATTTTTAATTAATTATTAGCAAACAATCACAAAATCACACATTCGATTTACTAATTTACTTAATTTTTCTCTTAAAATTGTGAACCGATTCTTCAAACTGAAAAACCTTAAATTTATAACACTATAGTCTCAGAAAATCTTTCTATAACTTTTACCTCGAATTTCTTTTTCTTTTCTGAAAATAATTTCTTGTGAATAAGCATTAAGTATAGTCCGTTTAAGCGATTTTAATTATTTTTGTCCTATAAAATTTAGGAGCCCACGACTTTTTTTCCTATCCCCTTTGGTTACATTCATATTTCTTTATCAGCTTTTTTACGTTTCACTGAATTTACAGCAGTTATTTTAAAATTTATAAATTCCACAATGCTTTTTCAGATCATGGGACTGTAGGGGTTGCTGTACCTGTGGATGACAGTGTTGACCAACTTATAGCAGGTTCAGGAAAAGATGTTATTCTTGTTACTTGGGACGGAGACAGCAATAAATCTAAGGTACCAATCAAAGTGTTGTGTTCGGTCGATTCTCCTCAGGCTCAAACAAGAATTAACGATGGAAAAGTGGACTCGGCTGGAAGATTTTGGCTCGGTAAAAAAAAAATATCACGAATTATAGAAATGCGATTTGTTTGCTTACGCCTAATATATATTTTTCATAGGTACTATGGGTAATGAAGTCAATGGAGAGGTACCTCCCAATTTAGGGACATTATATCGCGTTGATGATGATTTTGAGCCAAAAAAGGAAATATCACCTGTTACATTAAGTAACGGATTGGCATGGAATACTCAAGACGACACTTTGTATTATATTGATTCACCTACTCGTCAAGTTGCAGCGTATGATTACAATCCGAATAATGGAACTATATGTAAGATATTAGAGTTTCCATTTGAAATTATATTATAAGCAAATGTGCAAAAGTATATATCATATGTTACTGAAAATTACATCAACCACGAAGCGTAAAATTTAAAAATAGAATTTATTATTTATTTATGTATGTTTATAATTTATGTTTTAGCTAATAAGAGGATTGTATTCGATCTCAATAAGACTGATTTGAAAGGGGTACCTGATGGAATGACTATAGATACAGATGGCAATCTTTGGATAGCATTATTTGGTGGATCTC